TCCCAATAAGGATGAAACAGCTGTACAGTGCTTCTCGGCTTTTCAGCATAGATTGGCTTCACTTACAGGACGAAATCTCCATAAAAATCCCAAATCTACTTACACTACCAACAAAGACTGACACTGTTGGAAATACCTTTGCTGGCTGGAACCGCCTAACAGATTCGTCAGTAAAGCTGCTTGAAACCAGAAACACTATTTGACAGGACAATATTCCCCATCCCCCAGTCAGTCATATTCGGGAACTGGGGAGCAGTGTACTGGACGGTGCCTTTTCCAGTGAAGAAGTAGATATAACTAGAATGATATAGTGACAACCAGTGTGTTTAATGAGAAACGCCATTTATAAACCTAATTGTTCAAGTTTATCGAATCAACATGTGAGTCGATATATATATATATATATATATAATCACCAAACTCACCGTTCTGATTCACTCTGCAATTGTTTTCATAACGGGTGTAGTTTAACTGTTACGGTTACCTGGAGAGATTCGTCCCATCATCCAGTAAACCAGATCTCCACCTGAGTCACCCTTGTAAGAATATCTGCGTGGTCAGCTCAACTGGATTCGTTTCTATCGCTCGGCATACAGAAGAATTCATGGTGAAATTAGAGCACTTCCTTTAGTTCACCCCATCTGATGCTAAGTGGAACGGATCCGAGTCTAGTCTCCCCGATTTTCCCCCACCCCTTGGCAAAAAAATACGTTTTGTCAGATTCACTGATAGGGTAATTTCCTCATTCGACTTAGCTAAAAAGATTCTTAATTACCTGTCTAAAACTATCGAAATTTTACCACGGCCTCGTACAACGTTTGGAGGCGGGTGAATCACCCGGCCAACTCGATGGTTGAATTAAAGTCGTAAGACTACTGTTTACATGTTATCCCAGCTCAACTCGGCCATTAAGAACGTAAATCTTACTCCAGATAACAGTCCTCAATTAAATTAACCAGTCTATCTCCAGGATCGCATTCATTTTAGAACTTTTCACAGTTTTCCTAGTGATATGTCTACGCGAACGTAGCCATAAGATTTCAACGCGTTGACAAACAAACCGGGGTCGAAACGCAGTCGTAGAAGAATCAATTTTGTTTAGACCCACAGAAGAAGTCACGCAAAAACTATTTCAGTAAAAGTAAGACAAAAGACACAAAGTGGCCCAAAACTGTGCATCACTGCTTTGCAACTCGATTTCGAGCATCTACACCAGCTTGCTACTGAGAGTGCTAACCCGTCTTCACTCGACTAAACTCAGATTCGGAATGGTTCGGGTGTCCCCTTCTTCCTAGAATTATAGCGAGTTCAAACTCACTGCGTGCTTCTAGTCTCTGCCTTCAACTGATCATTTTAATTTGGTTATTTGCCCTAGTGCTGTCCGGTCACTACTTGCCCTATCTTCACTCGAGTGCTTACATCATATGAAGAGATTTAGACGTTAGCATTCACCAAAAGTCTATTGGTGTCCGTGTTGACGATTTTGTCATCACCACACCGTGCTACACCTAATGCTACAACAACCCAATGAATCTAGGGGGTGCGTTACCATGACACCTACAGGTGTTTACGCGGACATCTGCTTTCCTCAGGTCTCTGAGACTCTATTTCCCCAATCGACTGGGTAAAGCAGGTGTTGGCGAGTGCAACGCTGGCAGCGCCAGCACACTGCTTCTGTTATATCAACAGAACGTATGCATACATACAGAACAAAAAAGCGGTAACGAGGTTTATCTGCAGGTAATTAAGAGGTGGGTGGGAAGAACAACATCCCCCCCACCATCCAGTTGAAAGCCACCTGCGATTTTGTATGTTTCGCTGTGTTGTTGCATGTTTTCTGACCCGCACACCTCATCTGGTACTTCTAAACTAAGAAATGTTCATCTGCAACAAGGCAGCTACGTCTCTCATAAACTATGTAAAGCACATCAGCGAACTTATGTACAGTGAATGACAGGTCCATTGTTGATTTTCTAGTCAGTAATGCCACACCAGACCAATTTTGACAATTCAAGGGCATCATGTCAGTCTAAAACTTTCGGCTAGTAACATTCATGTGTTCGTCTGACGAAGATGTGCTTGGGGAAAGAGATGTAATCTTCCTTTAGCTTGGTATAGCACCCCATCATGTTGTCTGCATACCCAACTAGCAGTGTTGACAAGAGAAGACGTGACCTTAGCATCATCGCGGGCGGAAAGCAGCTGCCTGTTTACTTGTCTGTTTTGACCTCAGAACCAATGTACCCGTTCCCAGTCTGCAGCGGTTGTGTGGTACAGTTTTAGTGATGATCACGGAGTCGTTTTTTGTAAAAAAAACGAATGACTTCCTACATTCTAATTCATGCTTCTTCCCCCAATTATAGACCATGCACAGGTGAAATACGGTTTATAGGGCGAAAAATCTACCTATAATTGGAGCCAGAAACATCAGAGGATAGCTCCTCGGATCAGGGTTGTGATTTTCAGTTTGCCCTTCAAATACAGGTCGTGATGCGAAATTCTTGTCAGTGTGCTACTAAAGGACGGTTTATGATTGTGCTAACCCATAGTTCTTTTAAGATCGTACACTTTCAAACTCCAGAAAATCTCTAAAATGTGTGAGAGAAATTCATGTGCGACCGGGCTATCGTGTGATTTTTTTGGACACATCAGTTCAAGAACTTCCAACGGACTTGTGTGAAACGTAGATAACCATAGCCGATTTAGCCAGATGCGACAGGATTAAAAACCGTGTTGGTTTTCAGTGCAATGTAGTGCAAAGAGGTCTACTGAAAAGCCACCGTCAATTCACTGCCCGCCTTGCGCTGTTTGATTCATTCCAGCCTTACGCTAGC